GTTTAAGTGAGGATGCAGGCAGTAACCTTCTGGATCAACTGCAGCTGTTTGATGGAGTTTTTAGCCAAACATATGAAGACACTGTTGCAGTAATCCGTTCTACTAAAGAGGAACTCATTAATTCGTTTTTCAGGATCCTGCTGAGACGTTAGTCTCTGCAAGTGTTAGTCTGAGTTTATTACTACATTCAGATTTAGATCCTGATTATTGGTTTCTAGGTGTGTTGACTTTAAATACTCTTCTTCAGGTCCAAAATTATTTAAGTTTTGCCTTTCAGTTTGGTTTGTTTCCTGAATGGTTTCATAGTCACCTGGTGACATAGTCATGTATAGCTGTGTGTCATCTGCATAGTGAAGGTAACTTTTGCTGCTGGTTAAGATCTGAGCAGGGTAAGTTCTACTTACCTGACAATGTTCCATTTATAAAGATCTGAGTTGTAGAAACAGTTCAGCAACATCAGCATCTTTACAAAAGTTTGATTCTTTTCAAATTCATTTGATTGCCAGTTAGCAGCAATAGAACATATAAGAAGAGCTGTTGTGAAAGGTTAGACATCATATGATGGAGAAACTCAAACAGATGTCTAAATTTGGACAGAATGTAATTAGTTTAGAATATTTATACAATCAGCTGACAATCCTCCGCTTTGCTTTTTGTGAGCTCTGAGCTTTATATGGTCACAGTTTAATTAGTGGAGAACTTCTCTAGAGTGGTTCTGTGGAGGTTCAGGAAGAAGAACGGCTCCATAAGTTGAGCTGTGACAGCGTAAGGTCTTTGTTTGCATTGATAACTGGATTCGTCTCCCTCCTCCAGTGCAGCAGTCCAGTTTCTATGGTTACATGGGGATGCTTCCCAAGAGGTATACTCAGGGGGTGATGACTGGAGAAAGTAAGTACTCTCAGAAAGATGCATAAATATTTGTTTTTCTCTCTTTTTAAAAACCTTGTCTCTTGTTGAACCTTCCAGGCACGGCCGGCGTGATTATTTCGCTGTCTCGCATCTTCACCAAGCTGTTGATAGACGACGAGAAGATGAACACCGTGATCTTCTTCCTCATCTCTATCGGCATGGAGAAGCTCTGCTTTCTGCTTCACCTCGTCGTCCGACGCTCGCGGTTTGTCCGCTACTACACCAGCCACGCTCAGGGCAAAGGTCCGGCAAAATGTCACGATCCGAGAGACACCGGCACCGGATACAGGGTCCATCATGACGTCACAGCAGAGGAGGTTATATTCGTAAGTTATGTTAACATTTATAGTACTTTAACATTTAGAGCATATGTTTACCTTACATGTTGTCATTGTTTCATTAAACCACCAATCGGTCTGGATTTAATAGTGTAACGGCAACTGGGGAATGGTAGAAATTGCATAGATAGATAGATAGATAGATAGATAGATAGATAGATAGATAGATAGATAGATAGATAGATAGATAGATAGATAGATAGATAGATAGA